GGCCCGATAAGCATGTCCCAAAGCCTCTCGGGAGAGGTTTGCCACGACACGTTTGATGCCAAGCCTCCTTCCGAACCCAATGGCGCAAACGTCACGTCCGGAAGCCGTTCTCGTGACTGTCAGCCCAACACCCTCGACCCGAGTCCTCCCCCTGGCCCCAGCAGCGCGGACGGCAATGCTGACGCCGGGGCGGTCGAGCCGCCTCAAGGCGTGCTTGATGCCAATCTTGGCGAAGCATCAGCATCCAGGGCGGCGCGACGTGAGGCCAAGCATCATTCCACGTTGCCGACCCACGACCAAAGCTTGGATGCCGATAACAACAGCAGAGGCTTTAATTTTGACGACACGCTCGATTTAAGGCACGGAAATTTCGTCACGTCAACGCCGTTGACCAATTGTAAAATGACCTTCTGCGCCTCGCCAGATGAGAGCAAATTGCTGGCGTCTTCCCAAAAACCCGACGGGGAGACCGTCGGTAGGCCAGAAGTTCAGGCGACACCCGACGTTGCCTCGGAAATCTGTACTCCAAAAATATTCCCGGCCGCCAAATCGCTGCCGCCTTTCTCCAAAGCGCCATCGCTGCTGCAGAAGTTCAAGCCGTTGACGTTGCTTCCAAGACGAGGCGCCGTGCCGCCTTCGGGTCTCCATTTGCCAAAACCAAGTTTGGCTACTCGCACGCTTCAGGAGGTAAAATGGGTGCATTGGAAGAACCCCGTTCAAGAATGACTTTTGTTTTTTTTGTTTGTTTGTCCCCCCCCCAAGAGCTCAGCAGTGTCCAGCTCATACAAGCTGCGATCCACAACCACAGGTAAGTAGACTCGATTCTTCTAGTGGTGTGATGCTGATAGTTGGATGCCAAAAGCTCATCTGGGCATGCGACGCCAGGATTGAGGCCAGCCGCGCAGCAGCCGAAGACGGGAGCGGAGAAGCCACAGATAACCGGAGGACCATCGGGCATCCCCAAAGGGCCCCCACTTCTCCGGCCGCCATCAACGAGAAGCAGCGTGCTGGCTTCAAGTGCTGATAAGAAACGTAATTACGAGGATGCGGTGTTCAGCCCACCCGGTGTGCCGCGAGACACTGGCATCATTCAAAAGTAGAAGACTCGTATGTGGCCACGGCTTCACGGTGAAACTTGGAAGGATTTGCCATTTAACTCCTTGTTAGAAAATCATTCAAGCGTTGGTCAGGCACCTTGATTAAATTTGGAGAAGGTTGCCCTGTGACGAATCTTGTGCATTTTAGGTTCATCCTGAAATGCCAACCAAAAGCCAATTAGCCTCAACTTTTGAGAGTAGGGTCATCAAACTCATCGTTCCAGGAAGGCTCTTTCTGTTGGTCATGTTTAGAATCATGACATTTAAAAAAAATAATAAATAAATGAATACAATTCTTTTCCTCCTTAGCGTCTAATTCTGCAGTTCCCGTTCTCCAAACCAGGAAGCGCGACTTGAGCAGAGATGCGCAATTAGTTGTGAAGAAGAAGGCAAAGACGGGTAAAAATGGAGAAAAAAAAAAGGTCAGTTCCTTGCACAGTATAACAGACGCCTATGACGAAGTCCCGCGTGGCTGCTCCCGTGTGCTATTTCAGATGTCCCCGCAGCGTCCAGTGCCATTGTAGCACCGAGGCCTTCCGTCGATGCGTCGAGCGCCGTGAAAAGCTTGAGACCGACGTCTAAAACGGCAAAAGACGGTTGGTTGGAATCGATCGATTGAAATGGCGGCTCATGCACGTTTCTGCTGTCTCACAAGTTCATCACCTTACTGGCCCCTTGATATGATTCCCCCCTCCCCCCCTCCTCCTCCTTCAGATGCTGCAGTGTCTTCAGCAGCTAGAAATGCCGCCAGCAGAACCAAAATCCTAAAACCACCGGTGAAGAGTCAGAGAACTCACTTGGTCAAAGGTTCAGGTTGGTTAATAAGATGTCGGCGCAATACAGTTCGACTTTCGGGAATGTTCAATGTCAGAAACTTTTCATGAGACATTTTGACATTTGCGGGTTGGCTCTTACTTGCGATGAAAGCAACCAGATTTTGTCCAGGTACAGTTGAAGATCTGTGCTGTTCCTCAGTCAAATGCTCGCTGCTCACTGCAGTTGTTGATTTCTGGATTGGTTTTGGTGAGGGGCATTAGGAGTGTTTCGCACAACGTTCTTCTTTTTTTGATCCATTCAAAGAACTGGTGGTGAAATGACATATTTAAAAACGTAATGCGATTCTGTTTCAAGTGAAATCTGATGCAATTCATGGGACGTTTATTCAAGCTTTTTCCAAGTGCAGTATAAAGTCAAGATTGTCATTGGATTGACAAGATGTTGATTCCTTTGTTACATGACAGGTTGTGCTAAATGCGTGGTGCTGTAAGCTGAAATACAGCGACTGAAAGAGGGTATGACTGTCTATTTCTGGGAAAACGTGCATACGTAAAATTTCATCACAATCTCCAGGACAGTATTATTCTGTCTATCCTGCTAATAAGATCCTGTTTTCTTCCAGAACTACAAAGGCACAAGGAAGAAAAGGATGTGTGAAAATGCACTGAAATAAACTTGCCATTGTGGCACTGTGAATGTTAATGTATTTTAAACATTGTATGTACAATAATAAAATTGGTGTGACATTGCATTACTTGGAGGGGTGTTTTAATCCGCGTGACCTCATTCTGAGAATAAGGTGCCGAACGAGTCAATATTAAAAACACAAAAACTAAACTTAAGAACAGCAACAAAAAAAAAGTCCAAATGAAATAAAAATACCGACTTTCGACAGTAAGGGGCGCTGTAGCGGTGGCTCGCCCAAAACTCAAGAGTTTTGCGTCACTTCCTTTCCCTGCTCGAGTGATCCGTACGGACCGTCGCACGTTCTCTCCGTGTCACCGCAACAGCAAAACTGGATTTTGTAAACACTCAAAAGACACAGAAGCACCACAGAGCTCATTTCACAAGGACGTAGGTGAGTTTCAGGTCGAAATAACGTTTCTCACTGGTCGACTCTTGTGCCTTTTTGCCCTATGAGGCCCCAATGCTAGCGGAAGCTTTCCTTAGCATTAGCCCCGGGACACGTTAGCTCGCATCCTGTTTGGGTGCCAACGGTGTCGTTGATGATTCAGACAACTTTGGGACAACGACATACGCTTTGTCAAATTAAAAATCACCTCGCTACCATTTATCGTTTGCATACGGGGTGTATTTCTAGACATCTTAACTAAGATGATAAGGATCTGCTAACGCTCTTTTAGGTTTCCCCACGACAATTAACCATCTTATCGAAGTGAAATGTTATACTGTATGTAGCGCTTTTCAAAGATCGCACTCGCAAAGGGCTTCACACGGTCAATATTGAAACACACTTACATACACATGACAAGTGACCAGTCATAGATTACAAACCACAATGTGCAAATGGTGAAAATAATTTTGAATTTGCATAATTTAATTTGCATCTAATTGAGTTCTGTATTTTGGCCAAGGTTGTGTGATTATAATTGTCTGTATTTTTAATTTTATTGTTTTTTTATTTTTTATTTTTATAGATTGAGCCCTTTTTTCAGCAATGTCTCGTTTCTTTGCCACCGGGTCTGACAGCGAGTCAGAGGAGTCCTCGTCAGCAGATGAGATTGCACCCAAAGCACCCGGGACCACGCTCAAGCAGTCAGTGCAATGAATGAATTATAGCGTTGCTCCAGCGTTGCATTTTAAGTTGAAGCCATTTCACACGTGCGTCTGATCCCACAGGTCGCTGCTGCTCAGTGATGATGAGGAGGACACCAAGAGAGTTGTGCGCAGTGCCAAAGACAAACGGTTAGCCCTTTTTTTTTTTTTCCCGCCCCAGATATTATTGTCAAGGTAAACTTGACTTTGGTCCTCTCAGCATCATGCATTAATCGTGTTGCTTGAATGTGTCCTGCGTCATAGGTTTGAGGAGTTGACCAATCTCATCAAGACTATCCGCAATGCCATGAAGATCCGCGACATGGCCAAGTGTCTGGAGGAGTTTGAGCAGTTGTGTCGAGCGTTCCTCAAAAGCAAGAATATAGTGGACAAAGAGGGCGTTCCACCTTTCTACATCCGTCTTTTGGCAGACCTGGAGGACTACCTGAATCAGGTCAGTCCTTTCATTTCCCTCTGCCTGAAATGATTCCATGCTTCAATCGAGGTTGAGTTTTCAGGGTTTGAAATGTGCTTGAATTACAGATAGTGTCTGAGAGTAAAACTTAGTCTTTCGATACAGACGGTATGTCCGTGGGAGTGAGTAGGCTGTGCAGTCATTTGTACTACTGCTGCGGTCGTGAAAGCTAACTTTTATTAGCACCCTTTTTTTAAAAACAAAATATAAAATTCATGTCATGTTTTCAACTGGATGATGTTTCAGCTATGGGAGGACAAAGAGGGGAAGAAGAAGATGAACAAGAACAACGCAAAAGCCCTCAGCACATTGCGCCAGAAGATCCGCAAGTACAACCGGGATTACGAGACAGAAATCACTGCTTACAAGGAGGTGATGAAATGACACACAACGCCACACATTCATCTTTAAAGGATGATCTACCACTCAAATTTGTACATTTACGTGAACAGCATCAGCTGTGAATGTTTGTGTTCTTGTCTCACTAGAGGAGGACATTGACCTGTCAATATAAATTTTATAGAATCCCCAAGAGTCTGCAGATGAAGAGGAGGACAAGGGCCCAGATGATTCGGGTACAGGAGACCACTTTTTTTGTGGGGTGGTTTTTTTTTTTTTTTTGACACTTCTTCCTCTCAATATTTTGGACAAGTTGTCATTGTCCATGTGACAAGCTAAAGTTTGACTCCAGTGAGAAAGTCACATGTACAGAGACAGCGACTAATATTAGCCATTCTTTTGGCCATCAGGTTCATCCTCTGACAGCGATGAGGATGATGACGGTGTGTCCGCTAAGTCCTTCTTGAAGAAAAAACCAGAGGCCGCGCCAGAAGCGAGCAAGTTCCTCAAGTCCGCCAAAGGATCCGGGGTAAGGAGCCGGAAGAATGTTTCATTGGTTGTCAGCAATTATGTCAACGGCTGTGGTCGGACTGCATTCACACTTTTAGTTTGGTCCCTTTTGACAGGATGAGTCATCCTCCAGTGACGATGACGAAGACGACGAAGACTGGGGCTCTGACACTGTGGACACCGGCAGTGAGAGCTCTGACGACGGAGAGGGGAAGAGTGCGTCTCTCGCCATGGTCTTCCTCAAGAAGTGAGTTGCCGCCAATCCGCAGTTAATTCTGTACCCCGCACCGTACCTTGATATTTACTGGGGAGCTGCGCAAAGCCCTTCATTCATTTCTAATTTTATACAATTTAAAAAAAAAAACACGTAATTTTAGATTTTGGCACTACACGATCGGGTTTTTGCAAAAGTTAATTTTACGTTTTGGCATGAAATGAGTTAAACCGTGTCACGATGCCTTCAGGGCCCACGCACCTGAGAAGAGCAGCGAAAAAGTGGGGAAGAAAAAGAAGCTGAAGAAGAAAGAGAAGCTGGAGGAAGAGGCTGAGGAAGAGGGAGGTGAGGAGGTCGAGGGAGGCTGGGAGAAGGTGAGGGGAGGCGTCCCTCTCGTCAAGGTAAGGAAAAGATGGATACAGCCACCTTCTAAGATGTGCTGCAAGAAAGCCATCAAACACAGGCTTTTCCTTTTCCCTTTCATTGAAACCATCAGGAGAAGCCCAAGATGTTTGCCAAGGGTACCGAGATCAACACAGCTGTGGTGGTGAAGAAGCTCCACGAGATCCTGCAAGCCAGAGGCAAAAAGGGCACCGACCGGTATTCACTCCGTGCACACTCAGCATCTTCAAGAATTGTGCGCTCGGTCTCCACCGGTCGACATCCCAGAATTCATTCTGCGGTTACAAGGCTGCAATGATGAACTGAAAAACTGCAATAACTTGCCAATTCAAGGTGACATATTGATGGTTAGCTAATTTAATGTCGCCTCCCACCTCGAGTCGGAGCGTATTTTAATACCTGTGCAAGTTGTCAAGACCGAGCGCCGGTGCGCTTTCAATCATCTTGAACAAAAGAAATAAGAATGTATGAAGTGCGCTCTTACACTTGCTTGTACGGTCCACCAGTGGACTGAAATGCATTGTGTTAGGGTTAATGTGTTGCTGGTGGTGGTTTTTATTATTTTTTTTAAATCTAATCAATGGATGGAATAATCATCATCTAAAAATACTTGCTCGATGCAACCCGGGACATGATGCCCTGCCAAAGCCATGTATACAGTATTAGAATTGGCCGAATTGAAGTAATGGCACACAACATTAGGTACACCTGCACAATCCTATGATAAATTAGTACCCCGCACCGTACCTTGATATTTACTGGGGAGCTGCGCAAAGCCCTTCATTCATTTCTAATTTTATACAATTTAAAAAAAAAAACACGTAATTTTAGATTTTGGCACTACACGATCGGGTTTTTGCAAAAGTTAATTTTACGTTTTGGCATGAAATGAGTTAAACCGTGTCACGATGCCTTCAGGGCCCACGCACCTGAGAAGAGCAGCGAAAAAGTGGGGAAGAAAAAGAAGCTGAAGAAGAAAGAGAAGCTGGAGGAAGAGGCTGAGGAAGAGGGAGGTGAGGAGGTCGAGGGAGGCTGGGAGAAGGTGAGGGGAGGCGTCCCTCTCGTCAAGGTAAGGAAAAGATGGATACAGCCACCTTCTAAGATGTGCTGCAAGAAAGCCATCAAACACAGGCTTTTCCTTTTCCCTTTCATTGAAACCATCAGGAGAAGCCCAAGATGTTTGCCAAGGGTACCGAGATCAACACAGCTGTGGTGGTGAAGAAGCTCCACGAGATCCTGCAAGCCAGAGGCAAAAAGGGCACCGACCGGTATTCACTCCGTGCACACTCAGCATCTTCAAGAATTGTGCGCTCGGTCTCCACCGGTCGACATCCCAGAATTCATTCTGCGGTTACAAGGCTGCAATGATGAACTGAAAAACTGCAATAACTTGCCAATTCAAGGTGACATATTGATGGTTAGCTAATTTAATGTCGCCTCCCACCTCGAGTCGGAGCGTATTTTAATACCTGTGCAAGTTGTCAAGACCGAGCGCCGGTGCGCTTTCAATCATCTTGAACAAAAGAAATAAGAATGTATGAAGTGCGCTCTTACACTTGCTTGTACGGTCCACCAGTGGACTGAAATGCATTGTGTTAGGGTTAATGTGTTGCTGGTGGTGGTTTTTATTATTTTTTTTAAATCTAATCAATGGATGGAATAATCATCATCTAAAAATACTTGCTCGATGCAACCCGGGACATGATGCCCTGCCAAAGCCATGTATACAGTATTAGAATTGGCCGAATTGAAGTAATGGCACACAACATTAGGTACACCTGCACAATCCTATGATAAATTAAAAAAAAAAAATCTAATAAATCCAAAAAAATAAGAGTTTGCATTGCATGCTCAGTCATAAATGCAAGTTGTTCTTTTGCAGGACTGGCCAGATTGAGCTGCTCCATGCCCTCGCTGCCATCTCCGCAGAGCATAACCTGGGTGAGGGCGTCCTGGTGAAAATTAAATTCAACATTATTGCATCGCTGTACGACTACAATCCCAACATGGCAACCTTTATGAAGGTAGGAAACTTTTATACAGCAAGGATGCTCTCGATTTGGCTGATACTTCACTTGCCCCACCTTTTTTTTTTTTTTTTAACCCACTTCAGCCGGAAATGTGGAAGAAGTGTCTGGACTGCATAGATGAGCTGCTGAACGTCCTGTATGACAACAGCAATATGTTCATCGGGGAGAACATTGCAGAGGACAGTGAGAACTTGGCCATCTCAGATCAGGTATCTGCAGCCTAGCTTCTAACCTTTTGAAGAGAGATCAGCCCCCCCCCCCACCCCCTCCCCAGCCTTGACTGTTTGCCTTGACTGTTTCAGCCTTTCAGAGTGCGCGGCTGCATTTTAACTTTGGTGGAGAGGATGGACGAAGAGTTCACCAAGATCATGCAGAACACAGATCCTCATTCACAAGGTAAGCCCACACTTTCAGAAATGATATGGCAAACCCAAATCACGAATACGCAAGGAAGGGCTGTCATAACGGTCCAACCTCGGCCTGTAGAATACGTGGATAATCTCAAAGACGAAGAGCGCGTTTGCGGCATCATGGACCGCCTGCTCACCTACTTGGAGAACAAGGGCACCACGGAGGAGATTTGCCGCATCTATCTGCGTAGAATCATGCACACCTACTACAAGTTTGATTACAAGGCTCACCGGAATAGCCTGGCCATGCAGGCAGAAACAAAGGTGAGCAGAGTAGCTCGCCCTCACTGAAACGGAGGATTTGTGAAAGTGAGCTATGGCGTGCAAAATTGGCCGATGCTTCGCCGCCACTGTACGCCGTCGGACAAGCTTGACAGTCGCTCTTACAAGTGCTTCCGCTTGCCGTCGTCGTGCAGTCCCAGCAGGACCAGGAGGAGAGCGAGGCCGAGGACAGCGCCATCATCATGGACCGCCTCTGCAAGTTCATCTACGCCAAGGACCGCACCGACCGCATCCGTACGTGCGCCATCCTCTGCCACATCTACCACCACGCGCTGCATTCGCGTTGGTACCAGGCCCGCGACCTGATGCTCATGAGCCACCTGCAGGACAACATCCAGCACGCCGACCCACCCGTTCAGGTGAACACGCGAGTCCCTCGGACGCCGGCGACGCTCGGTCCAAAGCCAGCGACGTGATGGCTCGACGTCCGGCGTTTGCTTTCCTTCCTCCTAGATCCTCTACAACAGAACCATGGTCCAACTGGGCATCTGTGCCTTCCGCCAAGGCATGATCAAAGACGCGCACAACGCCTTGCTGGACATCCAGTCCTCGGGCCGTGCCAAGGAGCTGCTGGGTCAGGGTTTACTCATGAGGAACATGCAGGAGAGGAATGCCGAGCAGGAGAAGATCGAGAAGCGAAGACAAGTCAGTCAGCACAGTGTGCACCCCTCACGGTGATCATAGTTCACGAAAACTAAGGGAAAAAAATCATTCATGCAATCAAATTCTGCTGATTTCAAAAAAAAGAGAAGAAACCAAACCAAAACTACATCTCTCGTTTATAAACGAAAAGTACCTAATCATCTCAAAAAAGTTTTTGTTTTTGTCAAGGGTTCATTTTGGAGACATTTATTTTGGTGTGACTCTTCATTCATGGCTTGAGGAGAAGGAATGTCAGTTGTTTGAGGATTGTCTTTTGCGTGATAACACGATGATTCGTCAGTCAACTGCTTTTTGATCTTGCACTTGACAAGTACTCCATGTCTTGAAAAATAAATAAAGGCATTAAAAAACAGACAAACTTGCTCCAAAACTAATGACAACTGATTTAATTTAAAAAAACAAAAGTAAAAACAAACTCGAGTAACGCATGAAAAAGCCAGACAGACTGAAATTCCCAGCTTTTGAAATCACTTTTTGTGCGAGGAAATGTCGGCAAAAGTATGGCGACGCGGCGGAATTCCATCGTGTGCTCGTCATCGGTTGTGTGCCCATCACAGGTGCCCTTCCACATGCACATCAACCTCGAGCTGCTGGAATGCGTGTACCTGGTGTCGGCCATGTTGCTGGAAATCCCCTACATGGCTGCCCACGAGTTTGACGCCCGCCGCCGCATGATCAGCAAGCAGTTCCACCATCAGCTGCGAGTGGGAGAGCGGCAGCCGCTACTTGGTGAGCCGAGAACCAATTTCTATTTATTGCGTCGAGTCATAGAGCACGTCGTTGTTCTGCCTTTCACTGGACGCTGCTGGTATGGAGACATGTCCAAAGATGCATTTGTGTTCAATGCAAATGAAATTGGATCGTTTCCATTGGTGCGCTAACACAAAGTCACTTGAGTAATAATTTGGCCGCATCGCAATAGGCTAGTGGGCTACCGGAATTGTATCTCGGCTAGAATTGACTTTTTCACATCGAGTGGGGCGCGACATGCGCTCAACAAAGATGCATAGAAATACGCAGACACGTAGAAGTATCTTCACGTTACGCCCAGGCCCCCCGGAAAGCATGCGCGAGCACGTGGTGGCGGCCAGCAAGGCCATGAAGATGGGCGACTGGCGCACCTGCCACTCCTTCATCATCAACGAGAAAATGAACAGCAAAGTGTGGGACCTCTTCCCCGAGACGCAGCGAGTGCGCGAGATGCTCGTCAGGTTGGCTTCACAAGTCCGCATGTTGGTCATCCACTGTCCTGCCGCTGTTCGCTTGGTGACCGTGATACGTTGCTTTGAGTAGGAAGATCCAAGAGGAGTCGCTGAGGACGTACCTCTTCACTTACAGCAGCGTGTATGACTCCATCAGGTCAGTTGTTGTTTTCATGTAGCCGGCCGGGTGTGATTTCGTGATTTAGAAATGCCAAAATATTTCTTTCAAGTATCCCGGAATACATACTCAAAGTTGTCGTTTGACACATGAATGCGCAATTCTGTACACAGTCCATTTGACTTCATCGACATTGACGAGCAAAGTCAATTTTATTCTCAACGTCACAAAATATAAACAGCTACACTATTAAATGGTTCATTTATCGAACAGGGGCCAACAAGTAATTGGAGTGCAAAAAAAAAAAAAAGAATGGAACGTCCCAAATTTCAGGCGTCCTTCCTCGACATCAGTTTCTGCTTTCTTATCAGCTGTCGCTTTGGCACCATCTAGTGGCACCTTAGGAACAAACCACACAAATTGCAAATTTTTTTTAAAAAATCAATGAATAGCGAGGAAGCAAGTATATACTAGAATGCTATTTTCTGCAACCCACCCTGTGAAAGCTTTTCATCCAAATCCTTTTTTTTTTTCCTAGCATGGCGACACTGTCTGACATGTTTGAGTTGGAGATAGCAACAGTTCATAGCATCATCAGCAAAATGATCATCAACGAGGAGCTCATGGTAACGCTGCACGGCGTAGGAAGATTCCTTGGAATTTGTTTTGGGGAGGTATTTATGAATATCGGCATCCGCCCGCTGCCAGGCCTCTCTGGACCAGCCCACGCAGACGGTGGTGATGCACCGCACGGAGCCCACCTCCCTGCAGAACATGGCGCTGCAGCTGGCCGAGAAACTGGGCAGCCTGGTGGAGAACAACGAGCGCGTCTTCGACCTCAAGCAGGGCGTCTACGGCGGATACTTCAACAGAGGTCAGCTCGGTCGCGCTCGAGCTGCCGTAAAAGACTCCGTTGGGGAACGTTGACTTCACATTTTAGATTCGATTTAAAAACGAGAAAACAAACACGTTTCCTTCAGTCATGCGTTTTCCACGGGAAGGAGTATCTCGGCAGACAAAAAACAGGCGTATTATTATGCCTTCGTTTTAGAGATCGAATGTCAAATTTTCGTGGTGGTGGTGTTGACTGCTCTGCTCATTGGCTGCCCCTTGCATTACAGATCAGAAAGGCGGATATCAACAGAAACAGTCGTACCAGAGAGGTATGTTGTCCAGCAAATGAGCTTTTCGTTTATTCCCGAATAATCGTTGCTCATGTGCCCCTGACGCAGACGGAGGCAAGGGCGGTTACCAATCCAAGCAAGGCGGCTACCAGCGAGGAGGCTACAGGAATCAGAACCAAGGCAACTATTGATTTTGGAAAGGTTACATTCCGTTTTGACAATAAGCACCCTCTGGGCTGGAAGAGCCTCTAGAGCCTGATCCTATATCGGTTCATTTGTTTGAAGTGAGCCTGTCCTGTCTGATCAGTTATAATAAACATTCTTCCATCGTGCTTACTTTATCTTCCTACTGTTTTTGGCGGCCGGCATTTTCACATTTTTCCCCGCGATGTCCCCAAAATAGACGCATTTGTTGGCAATTGCTCATCTATTTTGTTTGGATTCGGGTGTGCACAAATGTGAGTGAAAAGAAAATAAGCTCACGCGTTTGTCCTTGGGCCACGCCGCTTAACTCGAGACTCTTCTAGCGCCCTCTTAACATGAGTCTCCTGTGGAGCTCCTTCCTGAGCAGGTCCCTCTCCTTGCGGATGCCCTTCAGCACCGTTTGGTTCTCCTGGGCCCTGCGCACCAGGTAGGGCAGGGTGTCGTCCACGGAGCCGTACGGGACCGACTTGTACACGGCGTAACCCTCCTTGGCTGCGGAGGAGAGGCGTGGGGTATCGGTTGCTATGACAACCGCAGTTTTTGACGGCGGCGTCTCACCTAAAGTGAGAGAAACGTGATCACACATCCCCAGAAGCTGACCAAAACACACGGAGCCGCTTGCTTTGTCGATGCCCAGTTCCTCAACCCTGGCGGTGACAAAAAGTAAGGCAGACATTGAGCCGGTGCGCTAGATGACTCGCACTTTGGACATCTCGGCGGTCCCACTCGTTCCACAGAATTTCAATTGTCCACCTGGACTCACCATTCGGCCGCCCGCCTGACAGACTCTTCGTTGTGTGTGGCGACGATGATCCTGTAGCCTTGCGGGTCCTCGGCGATGTGCCTCAGCAGCACCTCCAGCAAGCTGTTATAGCTGTCACGGGGAGGATTTATGAAATGAGACGATATATGCACCAGTGAACCGCTACAGTTTAGTACAGGATACTAAAAGAGGTTCAAAGTTGAGAAATATTTTGGAACCCAAGAAAACAAGTGCACAAAGATACATTATTGTTATTTGTCCAGTCAGATTTCAATTTCATTGTAGCTACCTCAGTCTAACTTGCACGCAGTGCGGCTTCCTTCTGCCGTCCTCTGGTTGGAGGAATTCAAAAAGGGTTATGAGCCAAACCTGTCTGGAGCATTCTGCGCACATTTCCTAATCAGCTCCTCTGGTGAGTGTTATATGTTTTATTCAATGTTTTTTCAAGTGCTGTCACGTGATAAGATGATTAATTCTCAACGACGGTTCTCCAGCGGCAGTACGACGGCTGTCCGCATTTGTGCGGTATTGGCGATTTAGCTGAAAAAGCAAGCCACCGGATGAACGACAAGTACGCGCATACAAGTGAAAATGTACAATTGGATGCAAACGGGCTCCCTGGCGGAGGTCACAAATGTCTTAACTTGTCATTTGTGTCCTCCCAGCAGTCTTGGACGGGGTCCGGCCGGCCCTCCTTCGCCGCCAGCTTCCTCTCTTTGTCCATGTAGGCTCCTCGCACCAGCTTGACCCCCAGACAGAACCCTCCTTCCCGAGATCGACTGATCGCCTCCAGCAGGAGCGTCCTGGTCTCCTGAAAGCGAGTATTTCCTATCAAAGCCACTGGATTTCCTTTTGCGGGCACATCAAGTATTCGGAGCATTGATTATTTTTTTTTTACCTTTAGGTAACACTGGAACGTGTACCAGATCCAGGCGCCGTCTTTGTTGAACTTCTTCATCATTGCCATGCTAACGAGGGACAGCGCAGGGTTCATGTAGGTGTACTCGGCATCGACCAGCACCCGCACTTTGTTCACGCTCGCCTGAGGGACACAAGCCACTGTGCTTGACCGCCCTTTCAACGAGGACTACAACTTGTTTAACGTTGATGATGTTGGTTTCTTCTTTCCCAATGCTCTCAATCTACTCTAGCAGGTGCTTCGTTGGCTTATGCCTTGGGGCTACCTTGAGTACAGCTCTAGATGGCAAAAGACCCTTGAGTACGAAAAAGGAAAGACTGTCCAAATAGCGCGCACGCCTCAGTGCTCCCGGCGGGTACCTCGGCTATCCTGTTGAGTCTCCGCAGGCTGCAGCGGAAATGCGCCGCCTCGCTCTCCTCCAAACTGGGGAACTTCACCTCCTCGCCGTCCATGGCTCTGACCAGGAGGTCCAATTCATACGCTTGTTTCGAAATGACCTTGGTGAGTTTGACCTTGATGGACACAAAAAAATGACGTCTTTCAATAACTGGTCTTTTTTTCCCCCTCCTTGGTGAGCAACGCATAAAAGCACATGCAAAATCTGTTCAGACTGGTTAATTCTGCGATCTCGTGGAAGAACATTTCATTGTTTTGCCTGTCAATCTATGTCACAGGTACAGATAGACAAAACGATATGATTTGCAGCCGATAAATGCTCATTTGTGGCTATTGTAGGGCACGAAAGGTCTTGAGGCGAACCAGCCACACTTACACAGAGCTCAGGACTGAGCAGAGCCGTGACCTTCAGTTGCATCATGGGATCTTTGCTCCAAGCGTTGCTGTGGGACATTCGCACGCATTCCAACATGGCGTCCATGTTCTCGTCGTATCTCTTCTCTCTAGGTGGCACACACGTATTGGCTGAGAATCATTGGTGACCGCTCTTAATAGCCAAGGAAATCATTCCTCCTGGTCATTGTTTCTTCTGGGATATTTTGTATATAAGACAGATGATGAGCTAAGGCTTTTTTTGTGGAGCTGTGACAGATGATGAGCTAAGACTTTTTTTCTCGAGCTGAAAAAAAGTGCTTCTGACCCTGTGCTCTCCCCCAGGTCTTCCTCGATGGGAACCGCCAGCATGGGCCTCAGTCCCAGCGTGCTCATCTTCTCCATGGACTCCGAAATCTCCTTCTCGTTCTCGCCGGCCACAAACTGAGCGTAGACCGTGGATCTCATCAGCGAGGAGAACACGCGCCTGCCCAGAATGCTGCGGGCCGCTGACATCAGCTGCCAAAGAGACGCATGACCAGGTTATGCTCACCTTCCAAGTTCCTAAGGTCAATCTGATACAAGGTGGCTTTTAGTTCGGTGAGGAGAATTGGAACAGAAGGCTCGTGGCCCAAATATTAACATTGTAATGCACGATATTTGTGGTCATGCTTCCTTTTTTTTGGGGCTTTCACCTTTTAACATATTTTAAATTTTAAATGAAGTGAAATTATTGAATGTGATCTTTTTTTTTTCCACTGTCTTTCGTACTTGACATTTTGACAATGGTGAACACGTGAGTTGAACCGATCCATCACTAAATAAACATTTGGGGAAAAAAATAATTGATTGTTTGCCTCACCTTGTTGCAGTTGTTGACAAGCACGGGGAAGGAGCAAAATCGGAACACAAGCAAGGCGCGACACAACTCTCTCAGGCTCTTCACCCGGAATGCGCTGGGATCCTCGAAGGTGAAAGAGGCAGCCAGGAGGTTCGGCGGCTTGCCTGCAGCCGCAGCCTGCACGATCCTGGGGGCAGCGGTGGACATGAGTCTCGTGGAGAGCAGGTAGAGGCGCGAGGAGCACATGCGAGTGCACGTCATCTTCGCTGTGTGAAGTTCACGTAAGGATTCCTCAAGTTTGGCCGAGTGTTGCTTGTTTACAGGATTTTAGGTGTGTTCCAATGTCAACGCGCGTGCGGGCTCCAAAAAAGTATGCGCTTTGTCAGAACCGGTCCTGTCAGAAAAAGAGAGTCGTTTCTTTGCAGTGAGTCAGACTGATGATTAATTCACTTCGCCTCGGGCCACCTTACCCGTGGTTCATGTAAATTCGGACAGCTGTGCAACTTTTGGTTTTGTAGAATCCCCCCCCCCCCCCCGCCCCCCAAAGAATAAAAAAGGGTCATCTTTGCGCCCACCTACTGGTTAATGAGTGACTGTGGAAATTAGAGCAACCACCCAAGTTGACCCTTGGCATCGACCAAAAAGCGTACCCTCTGTAACATTCGCTCAAAATGTCGACCAGAGTGATTAGAATAGTTCCAAATTTCACATTTTAACCCTTTGCACCGAGCGAACTGGATTCCTCTGAGAAGTCCGGAGCGAATTAAACAAAGGATCCATTAAAATGCACTTTTGGGAGGGCGTTCAGTCACACAAGTAAATTGTATTCAACTGTAATTGGACATCTTCATCGAGACGTAAAAACAACAGTCAATTTGAACTTTTTTGGCTTCCCACAAAAATGAAATTTTAGAATTCAAATCTAATTTGGGTTCAAGAACTTCTATATCACTTCTGACATACTAACCATTGCAGATACATAAGTTATTTTTTTTTTGTAATTACCTGTGCTGTTAAATTAGGTTAGCTGTTGCATAAGGCGTCCATCTGCTTACTTCTCTAAACTTGTTAAGACCTCAAATTTGGGGTTAATTCTCAACACACCGTTTTTGTGTTGAGTTACATATTGAGAGAGTGTCACTTGAAATGTCTGAGAGAGAGAGAGAGAGAGAGACAATCAGTAAGTTTGCAGAGGAAATGATTAACCATGTAGCTTCGTCATGTCTGTAAAGGGACTTACTCAATGTTCCGGAGCATGATGTACATGGGATGGGGGAGGCATTTTTGAACCACCGGGTTTGCAAATACATGAATACAAGGTGGCTCGCTTTTATAAATAGGTGACATTGCAGTCAAATGGCCAAATATTCAGTTCTTCGTATCAAGTATGTTGGATTTTTGAGATCACAGTGGCCACTTGAAAACGATGCGTTTCAGTCTGAATGGCATCATGGATGTTGCGATGGCAGTCCCGTGTTTTTTTTATTTTTTAAGGTTACTGGTACAGAATGTGCAATGCCCGTACACCCATAAAATGGTCAGCCCTTGATGATTTCATCAAGTCATATGAACGAACAAAATGTCTTTTAACAACATATAACGATCTATCAAGCCAACTCGCTCTTATCTCATGTATCTTTTTCCTGTGCAGTCACATACAATACAGAATCGTATATTTTTTTATTGCCTCCACTGCAATGGCTATTTCAGCCGAAGCACTATTTACAAGTCAATTCGTCTGAGAACACACACTTAAAGATCACGACGAACTTTGTCAATGCTACACATTGCTAATTTCCCCTCTAGAAGCGCCATTAAGCCAAAATGCAATTGCTCACTAAAACATCCATTTTGTTTTAGAACACGGCCCTGCCGCTCACATCCAGGAAGGACCCTTGGGCGTGGGCGTGCTGGTGTCTGTATAGTGGCCTGAATGGGATGGTGAGAGATGGGTGAGGGTCCTGCCGTAGCCGGATCGGGTAGGAGGAAAAGGCCGGGTACATGGTTGGGGCGGCAGGTGGGATGGGGAGGGGTGGCTCCAGCTGGGGGAGCAGGGAGGAGGGGTGGTGCAGCATCATGTCCGAGCGGTAGGGGCCGGCGGCGGGGTACTGGGGGATGGCGCCCAGCTCCATCGAGGCATGCGAGGGGGTCCCATTGTTCAGGTTTGGAGGGTGAGGAGTGGAAGCGAAGCAAGAGGAAGGTTGGAAAGGCAGGGCGGAAGATGGGCGGGGGAAGGCGACGGTGAGGCCGCAGGCTTGATGAGGCGGGCTCATATTGGAGAAATGAAGGGCCTGGCTTGGGAAGGACAGGCTCTGCATCTGCACGGGTGGTGGTAAAGCGAATGGTGCTGGGGGGGCACTCATTGGGGGCTGCAGCTCTGGGTTTGAAGGCAGGCTGTTTGGATAAATGAAGGCTTCCGAAGTTTGCTGCGAGGGGGGGGAACTGTGGCCACTGGAAAGGCTGTCATCTTGCTGCATGAGCAGGGACATTTGGCGCTGGGACTGACATGAGGAAAGAGAGGTGTCGGGTTCCGGGTTGGGTGGCGATATGGTGTGATAGGAGGGTGAAGAGGAGGAGGAGGAGGATTCGGGTGGAGTGGGGAAGGTGAAGGCGGTCTGCTGCAAAGAGGGTGAGGTGGTGGGGGAGGAGGAAAGGACGGCGGGGTAGTCCATGGGAGGGTCAGATGGGCTTGAGGCGAAGGTGGAGGGCTGAGGGAGCGGAACGAACGCCGGCGAGCTGGCCTGAGATGCCGGGAAGGTTGAGGTGAATGCCGCCTCACTCAAGGAGTCGGAACTGTGGGGAGAGCACACGTAACGGATGACATCGTCCGACATGGGCTTCATCAGAAGCCCTGATCCAAATGGAAAAGCGAAATACCCAATTTTTTGCTTCCTCAAAGGCTTACCTTTCAATTATTGTATTTGTGACGTCACTTCCTGCCCCGTCTTGCATCCCGGCATTCATGGAGAGACTTATGTCTGGAATCTGGGAGGCCATGAAGGCCTCGTCGAGGTCCAGAGGCGGCTCCGGGACGAGACTGTCCTGGAAGGCGCTGTCCTCTGTGGTAAACCCACACGAGGGGTCAGCAGGCAGGGGGTGCAGAGTGGCCAAAGCCAGGGCCTGCAGGTCTGCTCCGCTCATGTTGGGGGTGGCGGCGGGGACAGTGGGAAGGTGCTGAGTGGAGTCACATGCATCGCAGTTCCCTGTTGAGGACATGGGCCACGCTTGACATAGGACAAAAGGGGGAATATTGGATCTGCTCAGAAAATTGTCATCAGTCTCAAATATCTCCGTTCTCAGGGGGGTCTGGTGCCAAAAGGTTTGAGTGGACAACACTGACCTATAGCCACGGTTTCTGTCATGTCCGCTAGTTTTCGCTTCTGTCTTGCATCTCTTTGTCTGTCGAGGGAGGGGGAAAAAAAAAAACTTTTTGGGAAGAATTTGACTTCGCTCTGACTAGAAGCAAATGTGCCCTGATCGTCAATTACTTTTTGCTATTCATGCCTTCCTCCCGGAATCCTTTGGCAAAGGGGTTGCAGTTGATCTTCATCTCTGTGATCTGCAAACAAAAATAAAGCAATTCCACATTTAACTATCAATAATATTTCAGTTTGAGGAACCGAATAAAAGGTTATCGCGAGCGCATTGTGTGCAAGTACTTTGCTGTTCTGGTAGGCAGTGACGGTGATAAACTGGGTCTCGGGGAAGACAAAGGAGTGCTGCCCTCCGCCCCAACTCAGCATGTCCCGCGCCTCGATCACGTGCACTCGAGGCTGGTAGCGATGAAGTGAGTGGAGGATGATCTGGAAAGAAGAAGAAGAAAGGTTGGAATGTGACATTGTTTCCGATGACCTTTCAGAGCATTTACGATGCTTTGGTATCGCAACCCTGCATTATCGCTGAGATAAATGCTTCCCGGACATTGTGCAAGTCCCATCTACCTACACGGCAAATGCGGCCCGTCAACCGGTCACTTGTCTGTCCCCACCATTCTATCAATTCGCCCACCTCCCGGTCTATCGGTACCTACCTATCTTGCGCAATCTCCCTACCGACCGAGTGCTCTGTGGAGTCTTGCCTCATTGGGTTGTGCGCTACCTACGTGTCCCTGCGTGTCCAGTGTGTTGTTGGTGAGCTTGGCATAGTGAAAGGAAATGGTGCGGCTCTGCCAGTGAGCACCGGTGGCGGGGGAATCCGGGTGGATGAACACGCGGTCCGGGAGCCTGGCTTCGGCCCCGCCCACATCCTGCCATCCGCCTCCTTGGAAGCGATAGCGCGAGTTGTCCATCGGGATGATGTCCAGGAGGAGGATGTAGCGTAGGCATGGGTTCAGGCCCGACAGCTTCAACTTCATACCGGGAAACATCCGTCTAGGTAGGGAGAGGAAGATGCCATGTTAGGTCTGGCTTGAGATGAGGCTTGATTCATACGTCACAAATACACAGCAACGAATGCAGAATGTGTCTAACCAGACGCATGTAGGAAGTCAAACTGCGGTCCTGCCGCACTAAAAGAAGATCGCCGTCAGACTACGGTCTAAATCATGAGCTCCTTCCTCCACTCACCTGCCCTTTTTGGTGATGATCATCTCCGTTCCCACTGTGCTGAACTGCTTCCACAGGGATGAGTTCTCCAGGTCCATCTTCACGTCGTCTTTTTGCACTTGGGCCGTCGGCTCGCCGTGGATGACGGCTGGGGGCGCCAAAAGTCTCACAGGGGTGGGCAGGGCTTTGGCCCCCCCGTCACACGTCGAAGGGAACAGCGGCATGTGGGCGGCGGGCTCTCGATCTTGGCGAATTGCGGAGAAATGTTGGCAATGAGCTGATAATTTTTTTATAAAAATGTGCTGGTCGCCTCTAAACTGGAGCATAAATGAGGTAACTCGTATTCTAGCCCCTCTCCGCTGGCCGCTTTCAAGTTGATTTGAAGATTTTGGTTGTTTTCAAATCTCCGAATGGTCTCGCCTCGCCTTACTGAGCTGCTCCATCCCTACACTTTCTACCCTGTACCCCAGAGGTTGTTTTTTTTTTTTTTTTTTCCCCTATTGCCGGACCCAATTGTTCAATTGTCTCACGTTTTAGTTTTATATCCATAAAGCTGCTCTGATTTCAAATGTGCATCTCCTCTCACCTCTGTAGAAGCGGTCTCCAATTCGCTGAGGGCCCACAGCCAAACCGGGGTACACGTCCACTCCAAGCATACTGCGGCTCGGTGCTCTTCAGCTGGGGAAAAGTCGTAGCCGTCGTCGTACCTCTCCCCACTGCTCTTTTCCTTTGACTAATTCTTCCTTTTTTGCTTCTGCTCCAGTTCGTCTGCCGGCCTGGCCTTCAGTCACTGCCTCCAACCTGCCTGCGCTCGATTAAATAGGTGTGTGGCTGTTAACACGTGGAGGCCAAATGGTCACATTTTCACACCAACCTTCTTGACACCCTGCACTCTATCCATCTATTCTGTCCATCTACCCCAATCAATTCATTCAATAACTGATTAACTGGACATGAAGGCCTCTCGTACTTTGGGATCAATGAAGATCTAATGTCAAACAACTATGAGCAAATTGCCTTTTTTCGCGGAAGCTCCTCAGATTCTTTGTGACATGATAAAACATTTCCATGAGCTAAGCAGCAAAATCCCCTGTTCTCTGAAGCCGAGTCGCGATTGGCTAATACCTGAGCCCCGAGCAACTTCATTCATCAGAATGCCTTTAGACTCGTTGAGGCACACAGAACGTACAATTGTCGATTATTTTTTGGGTCTTGCAATACAGTCTGCGAGCGGCGGGTTCAAAACAATCCAAGCTGCAATTGCGAAATGCAAAAATACTCGTAATGCCCCCTGGTGCTGTTTTGAAGAGGCAGGACAGCTGATGAGGGGGGAAAAGCTCGTTTACAAGCAGATCCCCTGCAACTCACTGATGGCCCGATGACACGTCTCTTCCTCTCAGCTGTGTGCCTGTTGAGTCTTCGGTCAGTGGGGAGTCTGAGGATGTTAGTCGGCGAGGAAGCCAATTGGCCAGCTGACTGCAATTTGGCCACACAAACAACTGCATTGAAAAGTTGATGGGCGACGTTTGAATTCTTACAATGAGACTCACAAGTTTGGCATCACATTCTAATTTGACTGGTGTACACTGTAGCGAGAGCCACGTCAAACTTCGCTTCTCGGAATATTTTCAATGGGAGTCCGTCAGCACCCACCTGTCAGCATTTTCAGTGCCTCTGACTAACCATGAAACTCGTTTCAGATTTTTTTTTTTGTCCCGGCAACTGCAAACTCTGTCTTGAACAAATCTGATGAACGTAATTATTTTCTTTTTATCATAAAAATAAATCGAGCCTTTGAACAAGGGTGCTTGTACCTTTTAAAGCCACTTCACAGCAACATTTGTGTCAAACAGTCACGGTCATTGTCATACTTGTGAAGGAATGTCCTGTTTTCGATTTTGCCCATGTACCTCATGAATGTGTGTCTTCTTTATCACCAAATGCATTTCTGGTTTTATTTGCTTTGCTTCTGTCACTAAAATGAATGTGTTAACTCCTGTTCGATCTTCTTATGTATATTCTGCTGGATGTGAAGGTTTATATTCAACATGCCATATTTGTTTTCTTCAGATACCCCACGCCGAGTCTTCAAACTTGCCAAATGTAAAACATGGTACGACCAGTGATTAATGTTCAGGAAAGCAAAGTCCATCAAACTTGTTGCTTTGTGCACCGTGACAACTGGAGTCAGGTAACAGCCAGCAGAGTCAGTGTTGTTCTAGTTGTTGTTTTCTTTGTCCATTTGTGTGTGTGTTTAAAGGCTTGAGGGGAAGTTGAGGTGTTAAGTGTATTTTACTCATGCTTTTACAAACTAACAGGTGGATCCCTGTAACGGCCAATAATGAATGTGGTTGCAACTTGCGTTGTTGTCTTAATGCTGCTTGCATAGAGAGAGAAAAGAGCTTGGCTGGTGGGGGATTTCAGTGCATTCATCATTAGCACTATCCTGCTCCTTGACGATGAAGTGCTAAGTTGTTTGAAGTGAATCTTTGTTTCATTATTGAGGTCGAAGGGTCATCAGACTGAAAACACACAGCTCTGTGAATCAGTGGAATCATACATCGTCAAACTCGGTCTGTAAATCGAAAGTCACTTTTTTATGGTGAACTATGTAGCTCTCTCTCTCTCTCTCTCAGGGATAAATAAATAAATGAATGCAAACACAACTCTGGAGCACCATAGAACTGTGTGATTCCTCCTAGTAGTAAAGTAATGATAAGCAATAGTATTACCAAAAGTGCAACTTCTGTGGCGTCAGAAAACAAACTAAATGAAAGAAATGTTGAACGTGATACTTTGGGGCTTAATTTAATTTAAATGGTTTCGGTGAATTTGTCTTTGGAGCTGTGCAAACGGACACCGTGGAATAATTTGAAAAGAAAAAATAAATTTTTGAAATGCTGATTCGTGAAAAGTCGAGGGGTGGCGGTGCGGGAGCCCAACTGTAGGTGGCGCAATTACAATAATCAGGATGTTAATTACCGAAGAAGAAAATTGCGGTGACGGAAAGGAAGTGATTTTGTACGTTCTCTGAAACTGGATTTTTTTGAAAAGGCATTCAGCTTGGCATGCAGGACAGGGCGGAAGTAACGTAAGAGATGATTCGTTTTTACTTTGACGAGCATGCCTAAGTTGGCAAACGTGCTCGCTAAAGACTGGTAAACGCACTGACGCAAATCCTTCAAGTAGCTATGGAAAAATGTACAGACTCTGAAATGGAAGTACAAACGTGAAAAAAATGTAACGTAAAAAACATATACAGATGTCTGTTTTTAAATGTAAGGAGTAAACGTAAAAAAGTCGTCAGCCCAATGAATATTCGCATAAAGCACATTTGGAAAAAAAAAACGACTTCACCACAGTATCAAAGTAATTATCCTTGTAACGAAGTATTTGTAAGGAGTTACTCCCCACTCCTGACAACTCATTACATGGAGTTCAAAGTTTTAAAGTACAATCCTGTAGTGTCCTAATAAGGCTTTCTCCAGCAGGTGTCGCCTCTTGACGTTACCGTGGGAGGACGTACTGGTTTCACATATTTTATGCCAGTTACCTTTGAGACAGCTTGTCGCCTTGCAACGAGTGAGCAAGCGATTCCGCACGCTCATCCGACTCTTCTTTGCCAAATGCACGAGTTTTGAGGCAGTGAGTATTAAACCACGCTGTGATTTCGTTTTCCTCTCTGACTGTCCAGCAGGACTGTACAAAGTGGTGCGTGGACAATACTTTCTCTCGGTCGAAATAATCATGCATTCTTGAAACATTTTTTCAATTTTTTAATAACACGTAAAACGTTTATTTTTGCAAAGCTTGAAAGAGCTAATTTCTTGGTAGACTTATCAGTCGGGTCTTGCAATGTAGTGCCTTATTGTTCAAACAATAACTCTCCAAATGTGTTGACTACGCTACAGGTTGGATTGCGTGTTCCAAAGGAGGCCTTTTGCTCGCTGGTGAAGGACAACACGGTTCTCCGCAAGCTGTCACTTGAGAGCTGCTCCTCCTGGCTGACGGATGAGGAGCTGCTGCCCCTGGTCAGCCGGAACCAGCGTCTGATGACGGTGGACATGAGTGGCTGCGTGGGCCTCACTCGCCACTCGCTGGTGGCCTTGTCTTTGACCTGCGTACACCTGCGGCAGCTCGCCGTGGCTCGTTGCGCCTTCGTGGACGGTCTGTCCCTGCGCAGCCTGGCCGACCACTGCGGGGCGTTGCGCTCGCTCGACCTCAGCGGATGCTGCCGGCTGAAGGACGACGCCATCTGCTACCTGGCCAAGAAGTGCGCACGGTTAACGTTTCTGTCTTTGGCTGGAAATGAAAATATCACAAGTGATTCAGTGGAGGAGGTGGCCAAGAACTGCAGGGGCCTCGAGCATCTGGACCTGAGTTGCTGTCTGCGGGTCAGGGACCAGGCCGTTAGGTATTGCATCTTTTGTTCTGAGTTAAAAAAAACAAACAACAAAAACACACACATCATCTTTTAAAAGTTAAGGAGTAGAATGGTAAATGTTCTTGGATGTTTCAGGTCGTCAGTGTTTCCCTGTTGCCTTGTTTCGAATCAAACATCTCACAGCACCAAACAAAAAAAATGGAATAAAAAGTGTATACTGTAATGAGGACGTGTGCTCACAAACTTGCAGAGCCATTCGACATTGGCGGTTCCTCGAGAGCCACACCCTGCCTGTTTTCGATCCCTCCCTACTCCCAACACACCTGATTGAAATGATCAGCTCTGAAGAGGCTTGACGCGATCACGAACAATTGAATCCTGGTGTGTTGGAGTAGGGAGGGATCAAAAACAAGCAGCGTATGGCTCTCGAGCAACCGAGTTCCCTACCCGTGCACTGGGAGCAAGTCATGACCTCCACTTTAGGTACCAAACTTCTTTTCATCTACTTTATCAACAATAAACTCCCTCAAAGAAATACACCGGTAACGGTCATAAATCTCTGTTATGAACTAGGTCGCTTACAAAGCACGAAACAAGATAATTGACGCGCCATCTGTTGCGAACCAAAACGGTAGCGCATACCAAAGGAATGCGCTGAAAAACAGTCTCCTGAGATGAATTCAAGTTGAGAGTCTGACCACATTGAATGATTTTACAGCATGAAAAGATGAATACACTGACAAATGCGGATATGAACTGGTTGCCCCTCAATGCCGGATGCCTCCGTAATGTGAATGTCCACCGCCGTTCGCAGGACGGTTGCCGAATACTGCCCCAAGCTGCAGTCCTTGAAGGTGAAACACTGCCACCGTGTGACCGAGTCCAGCCTGGAGCCGCTGCGCAAGCGCAACGTGCGAATGGACGTTCATCCGCCGCCGGGAAGGGAGCGGCTTTCCATCACCGTGCGCTCTGGTCCTTATGTCAATATCCAGGTATAAGCCATGTCCACACTGTTTAAGGAATATTTGATGCTTGTTTGTGTTTGGCCTTTCACCGACATCTTTCACATTCAAACTCATTGAAAATGTTAAAATGTGTCAAAACCATTGCCAAAAAAAAAAAAAAAAGTGTCATATCATGAGCCGATGCGATTGTATTTAGTTTGGTTGACGCGTAAAGGTTCATTTCACTGTGACTCCACCTTTCTACAAATGACTTCCTCCTAACTTCTGATTCTAAAATGGCTTTTGGCAGTTACTTTGACAACCGATGTGCTTTTTGCTTACCGAGACTGTTGATCAATCAGTGAGTTAAAAAAAATAAATAAATAAATAACCGGTCCGTGATCCCAACTTGTTTATTTACTGTCCAATAGCTAAAATTTGCGTTAAATGGAAGCAAGTTGAAATGCGTTGGGGAGGTTGTGTGTGAAATAAAAAAAACATTTAAACTCTCAAAATTGTCCCAAAAATGTGAATTGACATTCAGTAGACAGAAAACGCCGGAGGTCCTAACTTCTGATTCTAAAATGGCTTTTGGCAGTTGCTTTGACAACCGATGTGCTTTTTGCATGCCGAGACTGTTGATCAATCAGTGAGTTAAAAATAAATAAATAAATAAATAACCGGTCACTGTTCCCAACTTGTTTATGTACTGTCCAATAGCCAAAATTTCCATTAAATGGAAGCATGTTGAAATGCGTTGGGGAGGTTGTGTGTGAAATTAAAAAAAAAACATTTAAACTCTAAAAATTGTCCCGAAAATGTGAATCAACATTCAGTAGACAGAAAACGCGGGAGAGGAAATCCAGGTTGTACCCTGCCTCTCGCCCAGTGTTAGCTGGGACCGGCGGCAGCTAAATGAGCAGCAGAGCAGGAGGGAATAGATGGAACGACAATCATGATGAGATCAATATATAACTACATCGAAAACTTGGGGGA